ACCCCGCCCCGCCCCGAGATTCGCTTCCAACTTTAATGGCCTGAAACAACACATCCTGCCTCGCCGCTATCACAGTGGGACTCTCGCTCTGTTTTGGCCACCGGCGGCGGCCCGCACAGTTATTCCCCCGCCGCACGAAGACCCGAATAGATTTCATGTCAACTTTGGGTAAATTCCGTGTACAAGCGGGTGCCGAGCGAGCAAGAGGGATAGTGAGCGAGCGAGAAGGGTAGTGGGCGAGTAGGAGCAAGAGAGAGAGGCGAGGAGGGCGGAAGGAACAGGATGGCCCATTCCATAACCTCTGCAAGTGATTAGACCGGGGCCGCATAATGGATAACTGTAACACAGGCGCGCTCGTACTCCCAGCGCCCGACCGCGCCGCTGCGATAAATTGAAACAAAAATAGACTCGCCGCCACTGGGAGATGTCTCCTTGCCGAACTAGAACAATAGTCTTTCTTACGTATGACACGAGTTGCAGTTCTTTTTGTAGCAATAACTAATAGATGTACAAAACTTTTAATTATCGTGAACGCTATACCGTAAGTGAAACTCTTGGTCACATATATTTTTCACTTTTCTGAGGGGGAAGAGGGGACCCTACATTCCGCCGGCGTCCGCGAAGGGCTTGGATGCTCGCGAAAAGTGCCTGATGAGTTGCCTACCCCGCGAGGCTGACGCGGCGGTCACTGCGACGACGAGCAGCCTGCAACTGCAGTAGTTGTTGCGTGTTCGTGTCATTGCTCGCCGATGCCGTCTCCTGCCAGCACCCAGGGGAAGTGCGTGTGTCCGCAGGTTTACCTCGGTTGCATGGACTTGGTCCTCCGTGACGTTGGCGGCGAGGGTGTCACACGTCGACGGTTCCACGTCACCGAGCCGCCGTGTCGTCGTGACGCGCGAGGGAGAAGACCCCGTGAGGCAGAGGCACCGCAAAGAGCAGTGCCTCGCACTCACACACGCACGCACCTACACACACGCACGCACACGCACACACCCACACTCACAAACTGTGGCCGGATGACGTTGACGGGGTGCTCACGCCATCGCCCAATTCAATAAGGCAAACGGGTCCTCGTTATGCTACTTTCTCATGCAATAAAACTTAAAACTGTCGTTACGTCAATCCGAGCGTGGCGGTGCGGCCGCGGGGCTTGGCGGGCGGGGCGGGCGCGGGCACCCTGGTCTAGCGTAGGCCCACCTTGCCCCCACGGCCGCCTCTATCGCAGAGACGCGGGACGAGGCTCGTTGGTAATGTCGTGTGATTTGATGGATCGTCGGCACGCATGGACACCAGGCACGTGTGTCGCGAGCGGCGGCAGAGTACCTCGCCGTCGTCGGTGGTGCGGACGATCCAGGACGTTGCGAGCCGAGGATAACTGACGGTGGGGGAGTGGGTTAGGGGGCTACAACCACCCCCCCCCCCCTTCTCCTTTTCCCCCATGCATGTTTTGCGGGTTTATTTCTCTCAATTGCTACGCCACTGGTAGAAATACCCCCCACCGCTCTGCTCCCTCCCTTTGGGCCCCTTTTCGTGCTGGTCCTTCCCTCGATTTCCCCCCTCCCCCGGTCGGATCATGAACCTTGGGCCAAAAGAGGCCTCGTGGTTAGTCAAGTCAAGTCCTCCGCTCCCTCCCGCCGACCTCCCCCGGCCCCGGCAGCGTTTAAATGACCGAAATAATTGAAAAAGCGACCAAGGGGAAAATGGTCGCGTTTCACTTGCAGGCAGTGCGCGCCGGCGACGGGCGCACGTCCACGAGAGGGAGGGAGGCGGGGCGAGGGGTGGTGACGGGCCGCCAGGGCGGGGTGGATGGGAAAGGGAGGTGGAGGGGGGGGGGGAGATTCACGTGGAGTAGAGACAGCGCGCGTGGTCGCGCCACGTGTGGCAAAGGCATAAAACAAGCGAAATGTGAACACACTGCGTAAGGGAGGGTTGTTGAGAGACAAGGATGCGTGTATGGATGTGACAGGGAAAAAGGGCACGAATGGGTTCGATGCTAGTAAGCAAGTAACATGGTATTTGCTTACTAGTGCCTGGATAGAAAAGCATCGTTTCGCAATGAAATTTATTCTTATTTTTATTTGTTTTACATCAGTTTTTTGGTGATTTTCGGATTGCGAGCTATAAGCCAATGTGGCAGTAAAGGGGGAAAAAAATTGCTGGCCATAAATGCTGAGTTATTGATAATTTTTGTTTTTACTTCAAATTACTTTTTCCATATTTAAGTTTCACAGCACGTAACACTGAATTACAATACAACTATTCTGAAAACTCAACATCACAATCATCAGATAGCCAAATTCAAAATGCACAGAATGGGTAAAGTTTTGTAGTTACTTGATGCAATCTTTTAAACACTCGTGTACTTTAGTTTATTAAAATATAACACAATTTTTCGATATGGTCAGCTTTAAGTTTACAAATGTAATGGGGGGTCCTTTACCAATCCATTTATTCTGTGGGTATTAAAATAACAGCAGATTGACAAATCGATTGTGAATTCTTATTTAGTGTAATCTGCTGTTCTACAAAATATAAATACAGTCTATTAAATCTACAAATACTGCAAGTCGATAGCAAAGAAAATCATAGGCCAAGTTCAGAGGTCAGTTAGATCCAGGCCATATGAGAAAGCAAGAAAATGTGTGGTGAGCAGTCACCTGTTATATATAGTATTCAATTTCATGGGGCAATGAGCCCAGTAATTCCTCGAACAACTGATTAAAATTGCAAGATTGACATTGAAGGAATCAGTCTAAAGCGTTTTGGAAGATAACAGATAGATATTTAAAAACACAACAATTATTACAAGATTTGAAATGAATAGTAAATAAATTATAAAAACAAAGTTACAGGCACAATGAATCTATCAACCCGTTTTGTTCATAGAATCACAAAGTCAAAATGGCATTTGAAAAGCCATTTTTATACTGAATGCAACAGGGTTTGTGCTCCAGCCAATCAAATAAGACTTAAATTCTTAGTCTGTTGGGGTTTAAAAATTGTAGAAGATAAGAACAGGGGGTTCCTAGGTCAAGCAAAGGTTGAAAGGCTTCTCAGTTATAAAATAACACAAAACAGAGCAGGAATGCAGCAAAAAGAAGATACTGTACGCATGAACATAAGATTTTTACTTTAAGTGGTATAACCATCTTATTGCGTATACACAATACTCTTTGGTATAAATGAATAACAATTAAAAGAAAGATAGGGTAAATAACACTGTATGTACACAACAGGTTTGATCATAGTCACCAAATAAAAGTAAAAGAGAAAACAAACAATATGTTCATGAAACTGTGATATAATTTAAATGATAACATAGAATTACAAGTGATATATGTATATACACTCTAATAAAAATCAGTAGGTTTGATAAAATTTCACACCAGATATAAATCATTGATACAACTAATATCAGCACCAAAGTTAAATTTTCTCACTGTCAAATCTGCTGCTATGAGCTATTTTGTCTACACTCGTTGCTAGAAATGAAAGGCAGCACAATTTTATTTTAGTTTTGCCCGCTTGAGCAGATTAAGTTTGGCCCCAGGTTGTCCAAACAACTTATCGGTCCGTGGCCTGCGAAATACTTGGCATTTCACCTCCTGCGGGGGCACGAACAAATTTAACGAGCAGTTCCAGAGAGATGTGCGCAGATGAAATAAAACTTAAATAGAACAGAAAACATTATCACAAACGCGACGATATCGTGTGATTGTCTACGTTGCAGACAGGGCCGATGCCAGCGTTGTATAAACATGAGGAACTCTCAACGAAACACCCGTACAACTCCCCCCAAAAGGTAACACTGTAGTTCTGCCAACGAGGCCATTGGCGTAATAATGTCATGACATCACCACTTGTTCGACTCACCGGCAACCCTCCTCTGGCCGCCGGGCGCGCCTATGACGTCGTCCCGGGTGAGTTCGGCGAGCTCCCCGCCTTGCCTCGGGGCGTGCCGTCCAGGCCGTTCACCATCCTCTCAATGCTGCGTATCTGGCTCGAGGGCGACGAGGACGTCGTGGACACCGTTTGTGCCGCGGTCGGCGTCGTCGAGGCCGAGTTCAGCCGCACCACCTCGAGGCTCGTGGGCGACGGCGATCGTCGCGGGGGCTGCGGAGCCGAGGTCGGCGACGTCCGACTCGACGGGGAGGTGCTCCGACTGCGCGAGTCGGACGGCGACCTCCGGGCGGGATGGTGGTGGAGGAGGTCCCTTGCGCCCGGGAAGGCCGGGTGGTTGTGGTGGAGGTGTGGGTAGCCCGGCGGCGGGCTGGACGGGCTCCCCGACGGCGGCCGGGCCAGCAGCGAGGACCCTGGCGTCACGGCCTCGAAGGCCGAGCCCAGCGGCGAGGGGCCCATCCTGGAGGGGCTCAGCGGCGACCCGGCGCCCGCCCCGGGCGGCGTCAGCGGGTACGGGCTGAAGCGGTTGGGGTGGCCGCCGGACAGGCCGCCGGCGACGCCGGCCATGGCCGCCTTGAGGTGCTGGTTCAGCGAGCCTGCGGGCCAAGTCATGTGATTTAGCTTCATCCCATCCAGTGCACTGGAAAAATATATGCCATCACATAAACATGTCCATTTCGTTGTATCGGCTTTAATATTTTGTGCCAATGCCCTGCAAAGCTTTTGACGCATCAATGAGATGAATATGAACCAAATGGTAAATTTGGGCAAGACTTTGTGAATGAATGAAAAACTTTTGTTTTTGCAGTGTCGGGAGCGCGACCCGTCGACTCACCCGCGGGCTGGCCGAGGTGGGGGTAGTGGCCGAACTGCTGGGCGGCCAGGGCGAGCTGCGCGTTGAGCAGCAGGCTGGGGTTGACGCCGTGGCCGGCGGCGCCGAACAACGACAGCGGCGGACCCTGGAAGGCCGCGGCCCCCGGGTACAGCGACGGCGGGTACAGGTAGGGCAGCAGCGGCGGTGGCGGGCCTACCGACACGTTCGGTGTTGGACAGTCTGTGGGCAAATGTTGTCATTACTCTGATTTCTCACTTGAAACGATTTGCGAGTTTATCAGAGGGAACTTTACAGTTTTGTCGTGCGATTTTTTTACATTTTTGTCAACATGTACTTGCATATTGATTAGCATTGGGTTTTTTCTACTATTTATTTGAATTGCTACGACTACTTTTGCTTCACTTACCGGCGCCGCCTTTCTCCTCTGCGTCCCGATCCCGCTCGCGGTCCCGATCAGCGCGATCCCGGTCGGCACGATCCCGGTCGGCGCGGTCCCGGTCCGCGTCGCGCTCCCGGCTGCGGCTGCGCTCCCGCACCGTCCGGGAGTCGGCGCCCGAGCCCGAGCAACTGCCGCTGTCCGAGTCGTCCTGCTGCTGTTGCTGGTGCTGCTGCTGGAGCAGCTGCAGGTGCTGTTGGTGCAGCTGCTGCATGTGGAGCAGCTGGCGCATTGCCTGCTCTGCAGCCGACGCATCTGCGGGTGTACACGGGGGGAGTTAGTAACGGGCGCGTTGAGCTTGGACAAGGAGGCGGTCGACGGGGACCTTCCCCTCCCGGACACTCACCCGAGGAGGCGCCGAGGTGGCGGTAGTGCGGGTCGTCCTGCACGCTGGAGCCTGTTGAGGAGGGCGGCCGAACGTGCGGCTGCAGGTGCGACGGCGACAGGTGCGCAGCCGTCGAGTCGGGCCGCGGCCCGCCCTTCAGGTCCTCTGTCACCCGCTGGGCCAGCAGCGACTGCCTGCAAGCAGAGAGACTGGAACCATTACCGGCTGTCCTGGAGACTGGGGTGCCTTGAATTTCTGTCATATGCGATTACTGCTTTAACTGGGGGAGTAACTAACGAGGGGGCATTATTTCGGTGTATTTTTTTCTGTCGCAAATTTCTAGAAACATTTGTAAAATTTCAAAAACTGCGTTAACTTTGTAAAAGTTTTGGAAACTTCTTTTGAATTCCCAGAATCAGGATGGCATTTTGCATTTAGTTTACGAATGTTACTTGCATGCATACCGGTAGATTTTCTTAAAATTCAACAAAATTTTAAAAGATTTGGTCAGAATTGAGCACAGTATCCAATACACCCCATAACTTGTTGATGGGCCAAACTCTTTCCCTAAAGTGCGAATTAGTTTAAGTGGCGGGAGGGTGGCGGGGCGTGGGTGCCACCGCCGCCGGGCCGGGATCATCATAAGATAACACTAATAAAAAGAAACCCAACCTCCCGCGCTTTCAATTCTTTTGATGCGAGGTGACGACGCGGTCTGCGCGGGACGTGGCGCGGCGTGGCGTGGCGTGGCGGCGCCGGGGCGTCGCTCAAAGGTTAAACCGTAATGACAGGGCAGAGAGGGGGCGGCGCCGCGACGCTTGGCCCGCGACGCCCGCGCGCCGCCGTCACACCCCCGGGGCGACAACCCACCACACCCCACCGCACCACACACCCGGCGGCCGGGTGACGAAAGGGTCGCCTCCGGGCTGATGACAGGGACCAGGAGCCGCCGCGGCGTATTCACCCGGAAAAGTGAACGGAACTAGACGCGTTAACAGTCGCGGTCCGGACGGGGAGGAGGGACGGGGAGGGTCATTGCCACTGTTCGTGCCGGAGCAGAGGGAGAGGAGGATGGGGACCGATCAGCAGCAGTCGCAGTGGCGGCAGCGCGGTCGCCCCGATCATCCGCTCCGGTAGTCACCATACCACGCTGACCCCGGCCCGGAGAACTCCGGCGAGACCGAGAGCAGGAGACCGGAGGCGACACATCTCTCACTGCCGCACTTTGCTCTTCCCCTTCCTCCTTCCTCACGTTCCTCATCCTCCGCCCTTTCACCCTCCTCCCCCTCCTTCCCGTTCGTTGTCCCATGACTGTTTGTTCTCGTCTGTTCCGCCTACGCCTATGATGGCGTTCGATTATGGACCAAAAATACCCCCCGCGAAAGCTCCCGTCCGCGCCGCTGGCCGCCGTGAGACTTTTCCGCTTTCCTTCCGCTGAATGGAACCGCAGGCGAGCCCCCCGCCCCGGCCCCGGCGGCCTGGCCTCGCTCATTGTCGCCGTTCGGTTCCATCCACACTCACTGTTCGACGAATTTTCTCTGTCAGTGAGTTTAGTTTCTGCGAAACGCCGGATAACACACTAATTACGCTCTGGCCGACCAGCGCGCCGGCGGCGGCCGACGGCGGGGGAGCTGCACCACCAACCGCCCGAACGGCACGACTCTTCTTCGAACGGCGCCAGACTCGTCTCGACCGCCTGGGCCGCGCAGGCCGGGCCGCGGCGAGCGCGCAGGCCGCCTCCGAGGTGGCCGTCATCCTCCCGCCTCCGCCCCCCTCCCCTTACCGCCTAGGGCGGCCGCGGGGTGCGCGAGCGACAAGGATGGCGATATACACCCGCGACTGCTCGCGCGCTGCGCCACCCCGGACGCAGCGCCGCGCCAGCCGGCCGCCCTGCAGTGCGGGCCGGGTCAGGATCACGACGGCGAGTAATAATTGCGCGCCCGGTGGGTCCCCGGGACCGGCGGCAGAGGTCCCCGACGACGACAGCGTGCAGCTCTGCTCGTGCGCGGGACGCCGCCGCGGTGACTCGACACGTAGCCGTACCCCGTACCCATGAGGGCGCAAGTACCAGTACCGTGCCTGCTGCACCTGGGTTGCTCCTGTTGCATACAACGGCCGGATCAACGTCTTTACTTCCCTCTTCCTCCGAAATTGTAACGCCCGTAATGAAGAGCTTATTTCGACCAATTTCCCCCGCCTCTCCCTACGCCTTCCGCGCTCTGCCACTCCTCGGGCTGCCTGCTGCTCTGCTGCGGCGACGCGGTGCTATGGTGCTGGTGGTGCTGGTGGTGGTGGTGGTGGTGGTGGTGGTGGTGGCGGTGGTGGGCGCTTTGGTGTGCAAATATTTTCGCCGCCCCGGTACCACGCCGCGCCTCCGGCCCAGGCCGGCAGCAGCCGCGCGCAATATCTTTATGCCGCCCATTACATTAGAATATATAACATAACACTTCCTCGAGTGTCCGGCGCGCTGCTCTTTTTTACGCCCGCGCGTTGCTGCTGTTGCTGCTGTTGGTGGTGCTGGCGCTGGCGCGAGCGCCGCGCATTTACATGGAAACGAAGTGTTTAACATGATCCTGGGGAGCAGCATCGCGGAGGCGGGCGAGAGGCGAACGCTAGCATATACACACCGTGGCATAGGGGTGGTTGCGGTGTCGCATAAAGGTGTGGTCAAAGGGGGTGCGGTTGCAGTAACGCGGATTAATTTTTAATGTTGTTTTTGTTTGTAAAATTCGGTAAAATTTCGCGGTCAAAGTCTGATTTGGAGATTAGAGCGATGATACACTATACTTCCAACAACGTAAGTCTCGTCGACAACCCCCAAAAACCCCTCCGTGCAGCAGCGGCGGCCGGCGCGTCGAGGCGAGCACGGTGGGCCACCTAACTACTCTCTCCTCTCCTCTCTCGCGCCACGCCCCGCCACTCCTCCTGAGGCGAGCGGACACGAGGCGATGAGTGCAGCGCGCCCTCATATTTTACTCGCCAACTAGACCCGCAGGGCCC